CTAAAGATGATAAAAGCATAATTTTTTGATCAAAACTTTTGGTTTACACCTAAAAATCATTTTCTATCATTATTTTTAATTTTTAGGCTTTAGGTATCCACGGATTGCAACCGGCAAGATTTACCACTCAAGAAGAACAAATGGAAGTTTGTAAAATTTGTATAGAACGTTACACGGAGGATATTAATAAATATTTGTACCTGATTGAATTGCGAGTAAATCACCTAAAATTTTGTACATAAAATTAAATCTGTAAATAATTAAATTTTTTTGCAATTAGGATACCAATGAAAGATTGTTTTATCGTTTTGTGAACCAATATATTGAGGAAATGTTGCCTATTATGTATACTCCAACTGTTGGACAGGCTTGTCAGATGTTTGGCCTAATTTACAGGTAAATAGGAAAATAAAATATAAAAAAAGAGTGCCAGATTGAAGTAAAGCTTATTTGCTACTGTACAAGATGGCATTTAAGTAAAAATAAATACATCATATAACAATTTTGAATAATGTTTATTAGTAATATTTGGTAACACTCGTAATGCACACATTTATTAGTGTCGACCATTATACACATTTATATAATGATAAATTATAAATTATATATTTATAATAGCATTAAAAATATGTGTAATATCTAAAAACAATAATGTCATTAAACTGTATAAATTGTGTACTTCAAATACTATATGATCGGTTTGTCGTTGTAATTAGCATTTACGACTTGAACCTTTATTAGAGAAATGAAGTAATTCCTGATTAATAAATTCTATACACAGTGGATTTTGTTAAACAACGCCTAAACAAATATTATTTTCGCAATTTCACCCATCACGTAATAATTGTGTTTAAAGAACTTCATGTAATTAAAATTAACACACATTCATTAACTGCTTGTCTATTTTTTTACTTTTTTCCAGACGATATTCAATTTGCGCGTCAGTAGAGTCCTTTTTTTAAATCTCATATATAAAAATTAAGTTTAATTCACTCCTCAGTAGAGTCCTTTTTTATAACCTTGCTCGTCAGTAGAATCCGCTTTACAAATCATTGAATATTAATAATTTTGCTCGACAGTAGAGTCCCTTTTTCTAATTAATAATTTTGCTCGTTAGTAGAGTCCATTTTGTCTTTTTTGATCAATTTTGTACATTTCTATCAAGTTATTTGATCACTTGTCAGTAGAGTCCCTTTTCTATTATATTGTTTATTCATTATTCATTTGTCAGTAGAGTCCCTTTTTGTCTTTTTTGTCAATTTTTAGTTTGCTCGACGCTTTTTTTATATTTACGAATTTCAAATTTGGTCGCCAGTAAAGTCAATTTTTAATTATTTTATATTAAAATTGAGTTTCCCTTAGAGCCCCTTTCTTCTTTTCTAGAATGAAATTAAAATTTGCTCGTCAGTAGAGCCCCTTTCACAAAACATTTTTCATTAATATTTTTGCTTATAAGTACAGTCCCTTTTAGTATCTAAATTAAATGTGCTTGTCAGCAGAGTCCTTTTTCTTTTTCTAAGTTGAAATTAAACTTTGCTTTTTCAGTTTGCCTGCCAGTAGAGTCCTTTTTATATTTGCTAGTTTCAAATTTGATCGTCAGTAGAGTCCTTTTTGTATTTTCTTATCGATCAAAACTTTGTTGGCTTGTCAGTAGAATACCTTACTAACTCTAAGATAAAATTTATGATCATATTTTAACTACTCGATTTTTTATTTGCTCATCAGTAAAGTCCTTTTTAATGTTTTAGATCAAAAACTAAAGTTACCTCGTCAGTAGAGTCTTTTTTTATATGTTTCCTTTCTATATCTTTTATATCTATACCAGTTAGTGGAGATCTTTTTCAGTTTTTATATTTACTAATTTTAAATTTAGTCATCAGTAGAGTCCCTTTTTATCAACTAGGTTGTAATTAAAGTTTGCTTGTCAGTAGAGTAGAGGATTAAAATTATGTTTGTTCGTCAGTAGAGTCCTTTTATTTTTTCTGTCGTTTGATAATTCTTTGAACAGCTTTAGAATTTGTCTTGTCTATAAAAACATTATCTATTTTAATATAGAAATAATTTCTAATCAATAAACTGTACGCATACAACGACAGATCTCTATTCACACGACACGACGACTAATCACAATCGACCCGTATAGAAATGATATCATCGAGAGCGAATGACAAATCATTGGCACTCGACTCTTATCTTATTTGCCGTAACGCACTTCGTTGCATTTGTACGGATTTACACCCTAGTCGCGCCTAAAGAAGTTTTACTTCAAAAATCTGAAATTATTTTTTATGGTTTTTGCAGAAGACCACGTGGAATATTCGTGACAATAAGTGACAAGGGCCATGTTTATGATGTTTTAAAAAATTGGCCGGAATTTGATGTCAGAGCTGTTTGTATGACTGATGGTGAAAGGATTTTAGGTCAGTCAATAATAAGATGAACAATTTTTTTTTAAATGATATAAACTGTTATACTACGATTTGTAGATAATTTTATGAGCTTTACAACAATATATAAATATATATTTATATTCAAATAACTTATTGATGTTTTAAGTCAATTTTAACTAAAAATGCCCCTGACCTAAAACTTAAGAATATTCAAATTCAAAATTTAGTCTTTTTTTTTATATAATTTTGTTCTAAATGATGTAAATTGTTATACTACGGTTTGTGGATAATTTTATGAGCTTTTCAACAATATATAAATATATATTTATATTCAAATAACTTATTTATGTTTTAAGTCAATTTTAACAAAAAATGCCCCTGGCCTACAACTTAAAAATATTCAAATTCAAATCTTAGTCAATTTTTTAATATAATTTTGTTTCAAATGATGCAAATTGTTATACTACGGTTTGTAGATAATTTTATGAGCTTTTTACCAATATATAAATATATATTTATATTCAAATAACTTATTTATTTAACAAAAACAGGCCCTGGCCTAAAACTTAAGAATATTCAAATTCAAAATTTAATCATTTTTTTTATATAATTTTGTTCTAAATGATGTAAATTGTTATACTACGATTTGTAGATAATTTTATGAGCTTTGTAACAATATATAAATATATATTTATATTCAAATAACTTATTGATGTTTTTGACAAAATTTAGTCAATTTTTTTTTATATAATTTTGTTCTAAATGATGTAAACTGTTATACTATGATTTGTTGATAATTTTATTAGCTTTACAACTATATATCTTCTATATATATAAAAATAAGTCGGGTTTTCCTTCCTGACGAAATAACTCCAGAACGCACGAACCGATTTCGACAATTTTGCATTCGTTGGAAAGGTCTCGGGCTCCGCAAGGTTTATAATTAAGAAAATTATTGGTGCATGGCATCGTGCCCTAATGCAAATTGCTGGAACTTCACGCACCGTAATTAAAAATTCAAGTAATGACATTAGTGAGAATTATCAGAATTATGCTTGGTCAAGTCAACGAGCAATTCTTGCCGAGCACAGAATAACGATGTAAACGCACTGAATTTCACCATTAAATCAAAAATTGCTGGCGATTTGGTGACATACCAATGATTCCGACTGGTCTTCCGTTTGACTTCAAACGATTGCAATTTCCAGTTCGCCTTGCGTTTGCAATAACAAGTCGCAAGGCCAATCGCTTAGTGTTTGCAGGATAAATTTCAAATAGATTATTTAGAAAATTATTGTTTTTCACATGGGCAGTTATACGTTGCCTGTTCACAAGTTGGGAAACCGTCCGTTTTGTTTGTGTTAACGTCAGACCAAAAAACAAAAAATGTGGTTTACCAAAGAGCACTTCAATGAAACGGATAATTTGCGGATTCACTTTCATTTACTTAGAGAAGTTCAACTAAAAAACACTTCATTTTTGTAACCGAAATAAATTCATTACTGTTTTGTAATAAAATCAATTTTTTCCTTTTCAAATATAAAACAAACAAAAAATTTCTTCATCTTTCACACGAAACCATCTGATGGCGAAACGGAGTTCGTCGGGTTCGCTAGTAAATATATATATTTATAGTAGTATAACTTATTGAAGTTGTAAGTCAAGTTTTAAAAAAATATTCAAATTCAAGATTTAGTGAATTTGAAAATAATAATACTAGAATAGTACTTGTTTTTCTAAGTCCTTTACCATTTTTCCAGGTTTAGGAGATTTAGGTGCCTTCGGCATGGCCATTCCAGTGGCCAAATTATCCCTATACACCGCCCTGGCCGGAGTAAAACCACACAGATGTCTTCCTGTAATGTTGGACGTCGGTACAAACAATATGAACCTCCTAGAAGATCCTTTGTACATTGGCATCAGAAGAAAAAGAGTCACTGGAGACGAGTACTACGAATTTATGAACGAGGTCATGCATGCTGTTGCCAGGTAAATAGAATATTTAATCTAGATAGTTGATCTGAAGGGATGTGATGACATGGAGTGTATTTTGTAGACGTTATGGCCAAAATACAGTGATACACTTTGAGGATTTCGGTAATCCTAATGCGTTCACCTTTTTGGAGAAGTACCAGAACCAGTTTTGTACCTTCAACGACGACATCCAGGTAAATAAAAAAAGAGTGCTCATCAGTGTAGTAAAACTTATTTGCTACTGTACAAAGTAGTAAATTTAAGTTAAGTAAAAATAAATACATCATATAACAATTTTGAATAATGTTAATTAGTAATATGGTACACTCGTGATGCACACATTTATTAGTGTCGACAATTATACGCATTTATATAATGATAAATTATAAATTATATATTTATAATGGCACTACAAATATGTATAATATTTACAAACAATAATGTTTTCAAGGTCATACTTGAAATATGACATGATCGGTTTAAAGTAATTGCTGATATAATATTTGTTCACATAGTGGATTATGTTAAACAACGCCTAAACAAATATTGTTTTCGCAACTTCACTCATCATGTAATAATTGTGTTTGAAAAACTTTATGTAATTAAAATTAACATACATTCATTGACTGCTTGTATTTTTGTTTTTACTTTTTCGCTGACGATATAATCTCATTCCTTGAACAGCTGTAATATCTGTCTTGTCTAACAAATTGAAGCCATACTTTTATATTTGTTTTATTTATCAAGCACTGCACATAGCTTGATCTATGAATCATTTTCTTTTTTATGTGAACGTTAATGCAATGATCATCATCAATATTACGAGGTAATAAATTAACCATATTATTAATGTCAACAGACACATTTATAATTTGGCCAAACATTCCAAATTGTCCATTTGCATGTCGCAATCGTCTAATTTGCACGAAACACAACCTAAGTGAAATTAACCTTTCAGATACAATATCTAGTTTAGGTAAATAATTTGGTATAGGTGGAAATACAAACCCGTTGAATTTACACAAAGTGGGAATTTTACCCGAAAGGTATTAACCTTTCGACAAGTTTGACATCCAACCTGATTATTTGAATCAATATTCAAAAAACCATTATTAAGAATTTGTTTTTGAACTTCATTTTTAATATTTTTAAGTCACTTTGAAACCAAAGTCGATCACATACAAAGCATACATAGCCAAAGCTATCATTTGTAAATTGTTTTTCAAACAATTTTCGTGCATTCCTAAACAAATTGAAGTCTTTATATGGAAGTTGAAATACTTCATTTGACTTTTGCAAAAGTACAGTTCTTGTCACATTATTAGTCACATTATATGCAGAATCATTAATTTGCAATTCACGTGATGTAGTTGGTGTATTAGAAAAAGTTACAGCAGTACTTTCATCTAAAAAGATAACAGAATAATATGTTTAAATGTGACAAAAGATTCTTACGTATGTGAATGGTGTTGACATTAACATCTAAATTGATATCTTGCTCAAGATTTTCTAATAACCGATGTATTTTCCTGCAGTTGTTTTCTTTGACGATGTAATTTTGATTTTCCAGAGTTTGTAAAAGGCTTTGAACCTGCATCAATATTTATAATTACTTTTATAATAAATTAAACTTAGTCTCCATAGCCACCATAAAAGAGGAACATGTAAACTTTCTCTAAATTTTCAATAAAGAAATATTGTTTTCACAATTTTACTCATCATGTAATTGTGTTTGTAGAACTTCATGTAATTGAAATTAACATACGTTTATTGACTGCTTGTTTGTTTTGACTATTTCGCTGGCGATACAGCTTTATTCTTTGAGCAACTATAGTATCTGTCTTGCCTATAAAAATATTTTCCATTTTAGTAATAACCTCAAAGGTATATAGTAACCTCGAAAAACTCGAATAATACAAATTACTTCAAAAAACATTTTTTCAATCTCCACATTATCCTATCTCGGTTTAAAAGAACTGATCTTTTGCAAGAGTCAAATAAACTTTCCATATAAAGACATCAATTTGTTTAGGAATGCACGAAAACTGTTTAAAAAACAATTTACAAATGATAGCTTTGGCTATGTATGCTTTGTGTGTGATCGACTTTGGTTTCAATATGGCTTAAAAATATTAAATGATGCTCAAAAACAAATTCTTGATAATGGTTTTTTGAATATTGATTCAAATAATCAGGTTGGATGTCAAACTAATCCAAATTTTATACATCTATAATATTTTGCTTTTTTATTTATAACCTATTGAAGAAACACAATATTACATTTTACATACCTTGTCATTCCTTGTTGGAAAACCATGTAATCTCATTATTTTCTTATTTCCTACGCAACCAGGAACGTGACAAGTCATTTTTAACACCCACCCTCACTGCACTTTTATAACTTTATATAGAAAATTCTTTAAACTTCACCAACTAATCAAAAATTATATCTAAAAGAACTTCAACTTCACGTTGGCGTTTACAATTTCCCTTGCATTTGTACGGATTTACACCCATGTCGCGCCTAAAGAAGTTTTACTTCAATAATGAATTAAACCCCAAAGTTCTTGGTCTTAATTGTAATTTGATTTTCTCTATTTTAGGGTACTGCTGGAGCAGTTTTGGCAGGTCTAATATGTTCCAATCGCATCACAAAAATCAAAAGACTATCAGATCACAAGATTTTATTTTTGGGCGCCGGAATGGCAGCCACTGGAATCGCCAATTTGTGCATAATGGCCATGATGAAGGAAGGAATCACCAGAGAAGAAGCCATTGAGAAACTTTATATGTTTGATCTTCAGGGTTTATTAGTAAAGGATTCTAGCAGAAAATTGACGGACGTACAGGTAAATTGATAACAAATATATTTATTAGTAATATTTTTATTGGTGTTTTTTTCTTCTTCTAGTTGCCTTTTGCCAAAGATGCTCCCCCAAATACAAATTTTGCAGATGTGGTGAGAGATATCAAGCCAACGGTTCTGATAGGATGTGCGACTGCTCCAGGAGCTTTTACTGATGAAATTTTGAGAGAGATGGCTAGTTTCAATGAGACTCCTTTGATTTTTGCATTGTCTAATCCTACCAGTAAGGCTGAGTGTACTGCTAAGCAGGCGTAAGTAATAAGAATGTTGTGATTAAGACAGATGATCCAAAAGTCAGACAGACGTTCTAGGTCTCAGACAGATAATCTGGAATACTGATAGAACTCCTGCTTAAGTTTCAGAAATCAGGCAGGAGGTCTAGAACTTAAGCAATAGTTCTAGAACTTAAGCAGGAGGTCTAGAACTTGAGCAGCAGGTCTAGAACTTGAGCAGCAGGTCTAGAACTTAAGCAGGAGGTCTAGAACTTAGCAGTAGGTCTAGAACTCAGGCATAAAGTCTAGAACTCAGACATAAAGTCTAGAACTCAGGCATAAAGTCTAGAACGCAGGCATAAAGTCTAGAACAGACAGGAGAAACATAAATCAGGACTTAGACAGACGATCCAAATCTCAAATAGACGTTTCAGGACTTAGACAGACGTTTCAGGACTCAGACAGACGTCCCAAGACTCAGGCAGACGTCCCAGGACTCAGGCAGACGTCCCAGGACTCAGGCAGACGTCCCAGGACTCAGGCAGACGTCCCAGGACTCAGGCAGACGTCCCAGGACTCAGGCAGACGTCCCAGGACTCAGGCAGACGTCTCAGGACTCAGACAGACGTCTCAGGACTCAGACAAAAAGATCAGAAATTAGATAAGAGGTCTATAACTTAGACGGGAGGTCTATAACTCAGACGGGAGGTCTAAAACTCAGACGGGAGGTCTAAAACTCAGACGGGAGGTCTAAAACTCAGACGGGAGGTCTAAAACTCAGACGGGAGGTCTAAAACTCAGACGGGAGGTCTGAAACTCAGACGAGAGGTCTGAAACTCAGACGAGAGGTCTAAAACTCAGACGAGAGGTCTAAAACTCAGACGAGAGGTCTAAAACTCATACGAGAGGTCTAGAACTCAGAAAGACGTTTCAGGACTCAGACAGAAAGATCAGAAATTAGATAGGAGGTCTATAACTCGGACAGGAGGTCCAGAAATCAGATAAAAAGTCCAGTCCAAGATAGAAAAGCTAAAACTCAGACAAAAGATTTTGAACTCAGGCAGAAGGTTCAGAACTTAAATAGGAAGTCCAGAACTCAGACAAATGTTGCAGAACTCGGACAAGAAGTTCAAATTTTAGACAGACAATCCAGAACTCAGATAGACGGTTTAAAATGTATGCAGACCATATGTACCTCGGACAATCTAGATCCCAGAAAATCTAGACCTCAGATAACCCAAAACTCAGACAATCTAGAACTCGGACAATCTAGAACTCGGACAATCTAGAACTCGGACAATCTAGAACTCGGACAATCTAGAACTCGGGCAATCTAGAACTCGGACAATCCAAAACTCAGACAATCTAGAACTCAGACAATCTAGAACTCGGACAATCTAGAACTCGGACAATCTAGAACTCGGACAATCTAGAACTCGGACAATCTAGAACTCGGACAATCTAGAACTCGGACAATCTAGAACTCGGACAATCCAAAACTCAGACAATCTAGACCTAAGACAATGCAAAACTCAGCAGATCCGAAACTCAGACAATCTAAACCTTCAACAAATCTACACCTCAAAATCTATAACTCAGACAGTGGCTCTAAAATTTAAACACACAATCTGTACCTCAGACAATCTGTACCTCAGACAATCTACACTTTAAACAATCTGTACCTCAGACAATCTAAACCCTAAGCAATCTACACTACAGACAATCTAGACTTCAGACAATCTACACTCCAGACAATCTACACTTCAGACAATCTGTACCTCAGACAATCTAATATTATTTTTATTTTTAGCTATGACCAAACAGAAGGCAGATGCATCTACTCCTCCGGTTCACCTTTCCCAGAATACAAGAGCACCAGCGGAAAAATCCTAAAACCTGGACAAGCCAACAACTCCTACATTTTTCCAGGGGTTGCTTTGGGGGCTATTGCTTGTGGAGCTTTGAGGATAAACGATGAAATGTTTTTGTTGGCAGCTGAAACCCTCGCAGGTGATGAAAAACAGTCATATGGAAAAAGAAAATTGTTTTCTTCATACTGATAACATAAGTTGTTTTGTAGAATTAGTTGATGACAAACAGTTACAGCAAGGGACTATTTACCCACCCCTGAGTTCTCTGAGAAATTGCTCCTTGGCTATAGCTAGAAAATTAGCCAAGTACGCCTATGATAAAGGAATTGCCTCCAGGTTGCCCCCGCCTAAAGAACCAATCAGCGATGAATTTTTTGACAGGTGAATTTTTCATTGAAATATAAATTTTTTACATCACAGATTGTTACTCTATTTTTGCTTACAGGTATGATTTTTACTATTCCGACGAAGCAATGCCCAAAAAATACCCCTGGCCTGAAATCAAGGAAAAGTACAAGTTGAGGGACATCAAATGCTGTCGACCAATGAAGAAAAAAAATCAGGAAAAGGTCACTCCGACCTTTATTTAAAAAACCATTCTGTGTCCTCGTTTAACATTGTGAAAATTGACATTTTTAATAAAAATAAAATAATTGGGAAAACGAAAGTCTTTTACCTATACGATCATTTATTCAAATTAGAACCATTTTTTTCTCTTTTTCTGTTAGAAAGGGTTGTAATTAGCCCACGATGCTTCCACATCATTTCGAAATGTTTTTTATTTTAAATTCCAAATCGCACAAATGATATAAAGAGAACTGAAACGTTTTTTCCGTACAAAGAAGAAGAAACTTTTTAATGACTTCAAATAGAAAAAAGAGATCAAATAAAATAACCGAACGCGAATTAATCTTCTGGCTTTTTAGTCTGGAACAAAGTTCTTGTTAATGATGAACGGTGGTAGATAAATTATATATATATATATATATATATATATATACTAGCTGACCCGACAAACGTTGTTTTGCTAAGTAAGGTACATTCCAAACAATTTCTAAAGAATCAAAAATATTAATACTTTAAGTGTATAAGAATGAGTTGTTTGAATGCTATATACAATGAGGTATTATAAAAACAATAAACCCCATTATTAGTTTGTCTATATTTTGTCAATACACTCAAACTGGAAGATTTATACACTTTCTATAGAAAACACGGTATAATCCAATCCAAGTCTTTTTTGGTTTTTCGATTTATTGATTACGTTTCAAATCTTTCAGATTCTTTTTGGATTCTAGATTTTGTGTATAATTGTAAATAATACTACTGAGCTTATACAAAATTTTCAAATTTCAGCGAGGAGAGATAGAAAATGAATTAAGTATTTCTTCTTTGACCTGCTTTTTGAAAAGTTTCAAGTAACATTCGATGAATTAAAGTAAATTTAATATAAAGTATATATGTAGAGCAGGGCGAGGCACAAAAGTTCAATTTGACTTTGAGCAAATATAAACTATATTGTGAAAACAATAACAATTATATCACAACAAATAACACATTTCAAACGAACAATTATCTGACTACGTTCAGTAAAACTGCCAGCTACTTCATCATTGTAGAAATGTGCTTTTTTGATGTCTTTAAAAAATTTGTTATCTAGACCTTTTTACACCATAGACGGGGTAACTTGGAACGGCCAATTGGCAAATAGGTTTAATGTCTTATTTTAATTTTAAAGGCATTTTAAAAATGGTATTTTAACTAATGCTAAAAAACTACCAACGGAAGAAAACATTTCAACTAAAGATCTCGTATTCAAATTATTGTTCTACTTGAGTGCTCACAAATATTTAGTATAATTGTAATTGTATTGTTCCCACGATATACATTTAAATTTTTAAGCGTAATTTATATTTGTTACAATTTTTGCTTTTTTTAATGTAAAATATATAAAGAATTACCAGAACTATAAAAAATAAATGCAAGATTTCAGCATCGCTTCTTAAACTACAATTAGTAATTTAAATTATGAATGGATAGTGTTATACTTTCACGTGGTTTACTGCATAGTAATTTATTTATTTCAATCCATAAACTATGAATTAAAACAAGTTAATTTATTTTTACACATTTGCCAAAGCATACCTAATTTACATAATTTGCAAATAATTAAGATGGATCGTTATTTATAATAATTAATCCAAAACGATATTGATGCTCTAGTTATTTTTTAATCGAATATTAACAGTTCATATTATTAACTGTTTTTCATATGGATTTTCAAAGATTACCGTTTATCTCCCGAAAGCAAAGTCACAAGAATCAAGTTTATAGCTGGTTAAACATCTTTTCCCTCTACTTTCAAATATTGTTGTTAAACAATGCCTAACTTTACTGGTTTTTGACAAATTGGTGGTGGACCTTTTCAACCCTGAACCTTCATATATTACTAACCATTCTTCGATAAATTCTGGTAAATTATAACTGGGAAAATGTTATTCGACAAAATGTCCCTTTGATCGATACCAAATTTAGGTTCTAAATTTAAATAACGTAAATAACAAATAATATAACCTAGAACCTGGTTTTATGAATACCAATAAGTATATAATTATACAAATAAGATCTTTCAGAGCACCGTGTTTGAGAAAAATATGATTTGCAAAAAAAGAGTGCTACGACGCCAAAAAGTGCATTTTCATATTAACATTTCAAAAAAGTTGATATTGTTGAGTTTGTATTAACACTTGCAGCCCTATTACATGATTTTACTGAATTGCAAATTTATAGCTGTTTTTGTGAAAAACATGTGTGATTTTATATTTTTATAATTTAGTACACATATTAAGAAATAACATACTAAAATTTTGTAACTCTAGTATAACGTTTTATATTTTTAAATGTTTTTCAATATACTCATCAAACCGTGGACTTGCAACTATTGCTAGAATGCAATTTGTTTAGAAAATTGCACATTTATAGCTTTTTTTTTGTTAGAGATATGTGATTTTATATTTTTATAATTGAGTACATATATTAGGTAATAACATACTAAAATTTCATAGCTCTAGTATAATATTGTATATTTTTAAAACATTTTTCAAAAGTACTTCTCATTTCATATCCAACGGTCGATTCGCAACTAATAAAAATTGAGTATGCAAGTGTGCATTGCAATTTTTTACTTTCTTCTGTTAGAAACAAAATTGATTTTATATTTTTATAATTCAGTACACATATTAAGAAATAACATACTATAATTTTATAACTGTATTACAACGCTTTATAATTTTAAAATATATTTTAAGCCGTAAATTTGTTTACGTCAAAACGTTTACTAACGTTTTTGTGTATAAATATAACTACGAACTAAACTACTGACTACTGACTACAATTCAATCATAATTAAATAATATTCACGCAAAACATCGTATTAAACGTAATTGAACATCATTCGTCAAAAACATTTGACATTTGACCTATTAGCCACCGTCCATTGTTTTATTCAAATTACGCTTCTTCAAAAAAATTTAAATTAAAAATGTAAAGTTTGTACGCGATTTTAAAATAATATCTCACCTTTCCGACAACCTACTGATTAGAACGAAATTTTCGCGACTAAGACTGGCCAAATCGGTTTAGCTGTTTTCGAGTTTTAGCGTATCATTTGATCGAGAGCTTTATTTTTATATATAAGATATACCTAAAAAAAATCGAAATTATTGAATTATATATACTGCGAAGTTCTAAATCAATTTTTATGATAATACCTTATTTAATTCCTCCTCTATCCCTGTCATTGATACAAAACTACATAAATTACGACCATGTTTTCTTCTACAACCGCAACTTACTTTAATGATAGACCACTTAAAAAGTGCACTAGAAAATATTCTGTTATATAAATAAGAGAAAAGTTTTGTAGGTGGTAGAAGACGGTAGAATACGGTAGAAACCGGTAGAAAGAGACTGGTGGCAAAATCTATGAACAAAGTTTGCGTGCTTTCGGATCATTTACAATACTGGAGGGAAGGAACTAGTTTTAGTTTTAAGTTGTTCTAGTTAACATAAAACCATTAGTGTTTCTGAATTTTAAAACTGAGGCGAAAGATATTGCAAGAATTCGAGGAATAATTAAATTATAAATGTATATATATATATATATATATATATATATATATATATATATAAATTTACTGTACGTATGTATATCATTGAACTGCTCCTAAACGACTTGTCCAATTTTGATAAAACTTTTTGGTGTTTGTCTAAATTAGTTTACGGATGGTATTGTATCCATAAATAATAAATAATTAGTCATTTTAGCAATAATTTGTGATGAAATTTGCTATATGAAAAATAGTGGAACAAAATATTACTTTCATTAAAATACCTCAAAATTTGTAAAAGAAAATACTTACATTATAAAAATACTTAATAATAACAATAATAATGATAATGATAGTAATAATAATGATAATAATATAAGATACTTAAATTTGTTAAAATATCATAAAATAACCTAAAATTTGTTAAATAAAATAATTATATTGTATTAAAAGTATTGTAAAGCTTATTAAAATACTTATTAATTTTTTAAAAAATACTTGCAACAAACAAACTAGTTATATTTAAAAATAATTAAAATTAACTAAATATAAATAAGTTTATAGTAAATAAATTAAATAATAAATAAATAAGTGATAAAATAGTTAAGAGTTAATTGAATTATATTAAATCTGTTAAATATTGACTTGAGCCTTATAATAATATTATTATACCGACGGCTTGTAAATAAATAAATAAATAAATAAATAAATATGTAAATACATGTTTGTAAAGGCTATTAATGAATATATTACTTGTGTTAATGTATATTGTATAAATTGATATAAGTAATAAACAATACAATAAAGAAGTAAAAAAATATAGTAAAACACCTTATCATTGTTAGTCCTTGAAAAAAATACATTAATTTTGGCAAACTCTTTATTAAAAGAAGATAATTAGTTTTTTTAAATTCTAGTTACAAATAATTCTAGTTGCATTAAATTCTAGATACAATAAATTTTAAGTTCAAAAAATTGTAGTTGCAAAAAATTGTAGTTGCAGAAAATTCTAGGTTCAGAAAAATTCAGTTTCTAGTTGAAGAAAATTCTAACTGCAGAAAATGATTGCAGAAAATTTTAAAACAAAAAATTCTGGTATAAAAAAATTGTTGTTGCAGAAAAATCTATTAGCAGAAAATTCTAGTTGCGAGAACTTCTAGTTGCCAAATTTTCTAATTACAAAAGATTTTAGGTTCAAAAAATTCTAGTTGCAGAAAATTTTAATGTTTAATTTTCTAATTACCTAATTCTTTCTAATTTTCTAATCATTTGCAGAAAATTCTAGTTGCAAAAAATTCTGAAACGAGAAATTCTAGGTTCAAAAAATTTTAGTTGCAGAATATTTTAGTTGCAGAACATTCTAGTTACACGAAATTCTAGGTTCAAAAAATTCTAGTTGCAAAAAATTCTAATCGCAGAAAATTTTAATATGAATATTTCATTTGCAGAATATTCCAATTGCAAAATATTTCATTTGCAGT